GTCAAACAGAGATTCTTGTTTTCTTCTATTTGTCTCCCTGTTTTCATTCATTATACAGCTCTTCCATTTAACTATATCTTCCATCATTTGCACTGCTGCAAAGAGTGAAATTGACCCAAAATAAGATTATATCTCATTTCGTACCTCCACTTTCAAATCAATAGCCAATTGATCCTTACCGCAAAGTCCCTTATAACGAGAGTCAGACGAATTACACAGAATTGTCCTTTGAGTGGAGCGAATGATCCTTTTCCAACACTCACCATCTGATAACAGCAGCCAGAGCTTTGGATTGGTGGTGAAAAATTTAACAGCAAAGTTGAGCATTTAATTTGTTTGGTGGGAAGCGAGCCTTTTAGCCGGAAAGCACGAAAGAGAGCAAAGCATCGAGTAAAAGCTTTACTGTTGATATTTTATCTCTCCCGCCACTCAACCGTTGATTAAATATTTCGATACGAGGTGAAAATGTGCCACCCACCGAAAAATAATTGAAATTTTTCCACGGAGTGGAAAAGTGCAATTAAAAATTTCATATTAGCTCAAGTTCTTAATTGACATTTTTGGCATTATTTGACGACTTCCGTGGAGGAGTTGGGCGGCTAAAGTTGAATCGGAGCGTCTTGCCGCAATATCAGAAAGTCTTGCCGGAGGGTGAGAAGATACTCCAGAAAGGGAGACTTTGATAAAATCCAACGGAGTTTCCTCGCAATATTACACCTTCCTCGGCGTGGCGAGACTACACGAAAGGAAGCAACGCTAGGATGATAATTACATGAGTTTAATTTCACGACAATCTCACAAGTATTCCCAAGTCCACCCAGTTGGCAAACAAGAGAAGGAGGAAGATAGATATGAGGAAGACTTGTCCGTTTGCCATTGTGTGCTATTGACGAAAGAGCTTTTCAAATTAAACGCTTCGGGCTATTTTGATCTCTTCCCTCTCGCCCACTTTACCATTCACCCACCCTCTCAAAATATGTCTTATTGTATTTCATAACGGATTCTTGAGTCATTTCACTGGGTTATTTTTAACTCCTTGACTCTGCAAAATATTCTCTCTTCAGCACTTTTCGCAAAGAGATTGCCTCTAAAGGGAAATTGATGTGATGGCTTTCTGACAAATTCAATGAAGCCCTCTGGAAGATAATGACATCTTCCAATGATTTCTTACTTAATGGATTGTTTTCCGGAAAATATTGACAAGCCTAAAAATATATCATTTCGAACACTCTTGTTTCAAGAAAATTTGTTTAAATTCATTTGTGCATAGATTGAAGATTTGGTTTTGGACATACGCTCTTTGGTGACACCGTGACACATTTAGAATTAATGTAATAACACTGATTCATGATAATCTGAATACTGATTTATTAGATATTGCTTCGTTCCGTTGAATATGCATTCGCAGAATATGTGAATTTAGATTTTGCAGAGATTTACGGTTTCTCCATTTAATAAATTAATTTGTACTATAAGAATCGATAACGCTTAAATTCTACAATTTCACTCACTTTCGCAGAGAAAAATTCCCCAAAAATATACTTAAAAAATACTTTATAGCCCCTCAACGTTATTTACCCAATAAAATATCTGCCTTTCATTTTGCTCTCGAGCAAAAATATGTCTAAGAAATGTGTCTGGGAATTTGCGCGATAAAAAGCTGATATTTTACCCACTTTGCAGGATGTTTTACAGCTCTCTCGCTCTCCAGAAAGAATGGGAAGAATTCCCACCCAGAGTTTCAACGCTACATCTCACTTTGAGAGAAATCCACAGCATGGCTTTTTTTCTTCTTCTTTACACACGGCGGAAGAAGAAGTCTTTCTTGCAGAAACACCCCGGGGATATTTGCTAATAAAATAGATTTGCCCAATATGTATCCACAACAAGGACAATGTAACTCTTTTTCAGTACAATTCAGACAACAAAGGAATATAATTTATTTGCAAATTTAAGTGGAGGGAGAGAATTCGAAATATTTCGGGTAGGATTTTTCCACTTGAGAAAATATACACAAAACAAAAAGTTTAGTCAATAGAGAGGGGACATTAATTGATCGTGGACAATGTGCATAAATTTTGCATAATAATTCCTCAGCATAGAGCAATTATTTTGCGTTGGGGAAGGGCTTTGAATGTAAATTGAGTGAAATGTGAGCGTGAGCCGAGGCGAAAAAACTCATGCTCGAGAATGCAGTGAAAAAGCTTAAAAAGCACAGCGGAGAAATTTTAATGTGTTTCTGCTGTTTTTGTCAAGCTTCATTGTCATTTATTTCACCTAATTTTTCCCGCAGATTCGCTCTCTCTCTCACCATTGCCAAAGGGTGACACACTTGTGTTTGCAAAATAAAATACCCAGCATCACTCGTTTAGGCAAACAGTGAAATGACGTGGTGCATTTCCTCTTCAATGCATTCGTACAAAAAAAAAGCGTCAAATGGGAAAAAGTTTCACTCTCTAATGCACTCATTTCACTTGACGCTCTGTGACATTTATTCATTGACTTGTGCCATTTGTAACATTTTTTTGTGATTTTTTGTCGAGCTGATGTATCATGACATTCCGCTAAAAAGCCAGCTCTGGATCTCACTCTTGATTCTCCTCAATAGTGTTGTAAATAAAAAAGAGCAATGATGTGGAGAGGAAGAATTTTTTTATTGCAACCGTGAACGAAGTGAAATTTAATAAAGCCAATAAAATAGCAATAAATAAGCAGAGAATATGATGTAAAATTTTCCAACAGCGCGGGATGAATTTTTACAACGACTGTGCGTGAAGTGAAAACGGAAATTCATTCTGAATTTTGTGATTCACGAATATATTCTTTGCCAAAGAGGCATAAAAGTAACCAAAAATATGTATTTCTGAAATGGTATTTTAAAAAGTACTACATTTTGTATCATTTCTTGCAAATCACAAAGTTGCATTTACGTCTATATATTCCATATACGCAATGTATGGAGAGAAGATGTTTTGTCGAGAAGAATTTTTTGCATAGAAATAAATTTCTTCACTTCCGATTAAATCTGTTTATTCACACCCCAAATTTTTGTCACCTGAGCAAGATTAGGAAATTAATAAAGCTGTAATCGATATGCTATGTGTCCAAAATCATGGAATGTGCCTTGAATTTGTGTACTTGTTCACCCTTTAAATGTCTCTGCAATGAATTCTCACTTTCCGCACTCATCATTATTGTGTATGATCGGTTGAGTGCGCAAACAGGGATGCAAGGGAGCAATAGGACCTCCATGGAAAGTCATAAAATATAATAACAACGAAAAAGAGAGTTCATAACATACATGAAATAATATATAAATTTGATTTTATCACATCCTCTGACCAAAATCGTATAATGCGATCCACATTTAAACGTCAACTTCCACCCCATGCCACAACTCCCCATTCCTGGTGATTGAAATCACTCCCGATATGGCTGTGGGCCTGGCGACGGGCGACACGGGATTTTCCGTTTCATCAATCGCCCGCCCCCAGAATGGGTGTGCAAAAGTTTCCAGGCCCACCGGGTCGGGGAGGTCACAAATTTTCACCCTTAATCTGGGCACCATTACTGGGAAGTCTTGTCGGGCCGAAAAACATTCCTCCTTCCGATCATTCGCCGGCTGGAAAGGGAACTCCGGCATTCTCTGTGGGGGAGGGAGAGAGACATCATGTTCGTGACAATCGTCTCGAGAGAAACTTGACCGTGGAATTATTACCTTCCCACCATGACTTTTGAATCAATATTTGTTATCGGGGCGTTTTATTGCACAAACTTTTTCACGTCTTCTGCTCCATGAGGTGGAAGAAATGGCAAAATAAATGATGGAACCTCTTCATTTTCCCAAAACTCACGACTTTCACTCCCCTCCACCCAGAGACTTTTCTGTCGCGATAAGAATTGATTTTCATTTTCCACCCTCAATTAATTCATGTCCCAAGACCAATTTTTACTCCTCTTCGATTCCTCGATTGGACATCGCAATCGACATTTTTCGCTCATTCCCAATATAAAATCCCAGGAAAAGAGAACCCAGGGTGAACTGAAAGAGAGCAATTATTAGACACGACGAGCTACTCATTGGCTAAGAGCTTTCACCCGAAAGTTTACTTTGAAATCTCTGTTTTACTTTGTGTCGCTCTGCCCAATTTTCCCCAGTGGCGATCTATTTGTGCAGAAAACTAATTTCCTCCTGCAGCATTTATCTGACGGAAATAAATACGGGGTTGAATGGGCAAACTTTCCAAATAATCTTTTTAAATGAATTTGCGATCATCCAGAGGATTCGCAAAAGAGTGAATTTTTTACTTTTGTCGTGTCGAAATAAAATATAATTTTTAAACTAAAAAAATGAGGAATTTTTCCCTCTTCCAATGAATTTTTAATTTTATAAGTATATATACACTATGCGACCAGAAAGCAATATTGAATTTTCCATTAGAATTTCAGGCAGAATTAATGGCAATTTGCGACAGAGACAATTAAGTATTTCCATTTTCAAATCCACCAGGAGGGGTTGCTATAGTGGGGTAATTAAGTTTTGTGCCAATTTCACAAAGAAACATTATTTTGGAAGTTCATCAAAAGACGAAGAGACAATTTATATCACTTAACTCGTAGTTTGTGCATGCAGTTTCGCCAAGAAGAAAATTCAACTACCATGATAAATTCCCCAGTGCATTCAATATCAGGTACCGAAGTGCTCGAATATACATTGCAGATCATAAAATTGTTCTGATATACAATGAATTCATCGTATTGCGTTGATTGAATTCTCTTTATGAAATTCAACTCTTTATGTAGAGAGTTTTTCAGGGATCTAAGGAATTTCCTTTGTGAGAATGCATCTAGTGTTATATAAATTGCACCTCACAGAAGGCAAAAAAGGTCAATAAAAGGCAATTTCCTACATCGAGCACCTCACAATGCGAAACGACAACCATTAGATATGAGAAATTACAATTTACCACTCTTCTTGCAAATTTATGTACAATTATTACCTTCGTCTCCGTGTATTGTGGCCATAAAAATTCCATTAAGTAGAAAAAGAGTTTGTGCAAAAAATATTTCACTCAGCCCTCTCATAGCGGAAAGTATTTCACTCTTGCTCCGTATTTAGTCGTTAGCTTGATGCTCAAACTTAGGTAGTCACCCTTCGATGAGGGGGTGGATGATGATTGTATTGGGTGGTCTGATGCTCAATCCCTCGCACAATTCGCACAGTGGGACACATGTGGGGGCAGGGTGGTCGTCCAAAGTTCCTCTCTCTCTCTCTACGAAAAATTCACACACAATCAGAGTTGAAAGGAGATTAGATAAGAGATAATCATCAAGCTAAACTCATCATGTGCAAATTTTAAGAAAACACAGGGGAAATCATTGGAATAACAAATAATAGTTCATACAGTGCTATAATTTGCAATTCAACAATATGTTCAGCGTGGAATTTATGTTATGGGAAAAAGCTCGTATATGATAAACCGAATTTGAAATCTACGAAGTAACTGACAAATACAAATTCACTTTATGGCAAATAACCTTTAGAATCTTTTAGGCAAGATAAACAACCTGACAAACAGTGTGAAATCCTATATCTATTTAATTTCCTACATTATCTCCTTCCAACTCTGCCCACAATTCATTCGATACACCAAAGCACAGCAATTTCTTCTCTTGGCGTTCTCTTTTGATTTCTTGTCTCACTTCCACTTTCACATGCGGAATTTGGTGCTTCGGCAAAAGGGGCTCTCGGGGTAATTCTCACTTCAGCATTCTGTTTATTACCAACTGTCACGAAACTCTATTTTCCATCGTAATAAAGATTTTTTCTCCTCTTCACCCTGCCCTCGTCAGGGGTATTTTTACACCCCCTCGTGCTGATGCCGCACAAATAGAGTAAATGGACTTGTAGAGTACAAATAATAATATTCCATTTGGTGAAATTATTTTCCACCTCACTCGCGATACTCCAACTGGGTGTCTTTTGCCCACTTCCGACAGGACTTTCAAGCCACTTCCGCCACAAAGTTAATCGCAACGAGCTTTTCCCATTCACGTCCCCGTTTTTGCCACTCACACCGTTCTGGCTCACTTTCCCACCGTGGCACTTCTTCTAAAATGTTTACTTTTGTCTCTCCTCCGCTCTCAATGAGTGTCAAACACTTTATTTTCACACAGAACTCTGCGCCCACTGCTGGCTTCCGGGTGGATGGAGTCCCTTGGTGAGCTTCCCGTGGATGACTTCTCCTCTTATCTCGACAAAAGCGATTGTTTTAGCTTATGCAAATGCATTTTTAATTAACAGTCTCGACCAAGTCTTTTGTCTGGACATTCGCAGTCTGAGCTTCTGATTTCTTGTCTGTCGCGTGACGACCCGAGGAGTGATGTGGCAAGGTGAGGAACTGGAGAGACAGTGTCCACCCGCCGACTTGAGACCACCAAGAGTGCTTCTCAAGTCTGAGGAAGACCAAAGTGGGAGCTTAACGCTGGAACTGTGGCGCTTTCTCCCGTGGCTGCGAGTCAACTAAATTAACCGACTCGGTTGCAATTAGAAAAATATGCTTTCACCAGACACACACACACACACACACACACAGAGTCACTGGCCACCCTCTGGATGCGCCATCGCCCCTCCTGACTACCCCTTCGCTCGTGGCATGCGAGCATGCGCCCCAGTCTTCCGCCTCTCGTGCATTCTGCACCGCTCTCGAGGGGCCGAATGTGGGCCAAGAGGAGAGACATGCAAGACACCAAATAATTGGAATTGATTCTCGCAACAAGAAGAGCAGCAAAAAAGTGTCACAGACACCAAATGTGTGAGCTTTCCGTCTCTGGAAAGAGTGTCAATTGAGCACGGTAATTGGATCAAGTGCGGCACATTTCATGGTGTTAAGAGGAAATTGCATTTTGAAGGGAAATTCCTCGAAACCAGTACAGGGCAATCTCATACGGCAGAGAGCGAGTTTCAAGATGATTTTAAGGGAATCGAATGAGATACATCGCTGAATTTTCTGAGAAATTCTATGCCATACAATCAATGGCATAGAAACATATTCCAGCCAATTAGTGCCACTCTATTGCGATTTGACTACATTGAAGAAAATTTTCATTGATATTTCCTAGGAACTGACAATTTCTTTCTCAGTATTGTGAAAGTCCAGTGTTTGTTCAGTAAACGCAAATACATCGTACAATATCAGTCAATTATATTAATTTCATAACATTTCTAATCCATCAGCATAAGCTGAAAATGTACTTTCTCGGAAGGAGAGATTGAATTTTCTATTGAAATCATTCACATAGCCTTTCTTTATTCATGAAGAACGCAAAATAGTGAGTGGTTGGGCGCGAGAAAAGGTGCGAAAAATGAAAATGCAGCCAAAGTGTGAGACTTAACAAGTTGAAGGTGTTTCTTGTCGGTGACTCGTGAAGGCAAAGTGTGAGGTGAATGCGAAAATCTCACGCTTCAAGAAAAAGCTTCAACATCACGCAAAAGTTCATTCACTTGCATATACTTTCAGCTTTGAAGTTTCATTTAATCCATCAAACGTGAGCATTTTTCCAACATTATGTCTTACATGTATGGAAATGTATAATGGGAAAACAACTCTCTAATATGCTTTCCTCTTCATTTCCCTATGCCAAAAGGCCAAAGGGAGAGAGAGCTGAAGGTGGCATGAAAGGAATGTTAATAAAAGAAATGCGGAAGGTCTCAGTGGAACAATTGCAAAATATATGAAGATTTTTTATTGGTAAAAGTGAGCAAAAAATCCACCAACGGTGAAAATTGTTCGAAAGAAGTATAATATGAATTTGCACGTTTCACAAGATGTCTTTAAAATTACCTGGGAAATATTTTCCCTTTCATTCTTCCCGCAGCAAGGAAAAGATGAAAAACTTACGCCCCGAAAGTGTTCACGTATTTTTCTGTTCTTCCCACCCACGCTTTTCCGACGTTCCACCACGTAGTTCCCGTTCTTTTGAATTTAAGCACGCGTTGTGTTGTTTTACGGCGCTTAGCGAATTAGAAAATGTTTCACTAATAATGACTCCTCCACCACCCCGTCAGCCTTTTAATTACCATCCCACCCATCGTCATCTTTTCTCTTGTCTTTTCTCTCCTGCGCTCGCCTTTCACGACAACACAGAGCACAAGACATTCTACACACTTTAACTAGATATTTCATCCTTCCTCCAGGGAAAGCGCCGATTTCACTCATTAAATTTCTTCGAGCGAATCCTCGTGGAAATTTGATTTATTCTTTTCCTCCTTCCTTGCGCCAACCTATTAAACCATCATTTTCCACCATGGGGGATAATTGAAAAGGAACTATGTACAAGACTCAGGAGAAATTTAAGATGACTCCTGATGCTCATTTCCGGATCCTTTTAGTCACTAATTTTCGCAAATTACAATCCCCTAAGCATTCAGATGAGACAATTAACTTATTCTCCGCTCTTCTTTCCCAAATGTATGCAAGTCGTAGTTAATTTGCAGTGCTTATATGCATATAATTTACTGTCGATTTATTGGGGAAAAAATGCAATTAAACCGCCCTCAAGTGCCGTAAATATCCGTTAAATGGCCCAACCCTCTCGGTAAGAACTCACGCTCAAATTTAATGCACTTTCGCATGTTCGATGATTGTGAAAATAAAACAATCACAGCACATTAGCATTCTTTTGCCACACACACACCGTGCTCGGGAGTCTCTCTGAATAGCGCCAATTTTCCCCGCTCGATGAATATTCCATTTGCCAGAGTCGAGCGGGAAAATGTGTGTGAAAATGTCTCGGAGAAAATGGGTGAATTTCCTCTAAGGGAATGCGTAAATTGACATTCGTCCCATCCCTCTGTCGTTGGTGCAGTAATTTTCCTGCCATGGGGCCACCAATTTCCCCAAGAGTGGGTGGGCAGTGGGTGAAAAAAGTCTAATTGCAAAATGGCATTTGAGCACGCAAGTCCATAAAGCGAACTTCTGCATTTATCAAACGCTCTGTGTGCTTTTTCCGTGCCTAGTTGGGTAGCAAGAGATTTCCACCACCTGGTGATAATTTGTTCATATACCCACGACCTGAACGAAGAATGGGGTGACAATTTCATCCCTCACGGGCGGGATGAGTCGGAGTGCGAAAGGGTAATGAATTAAATTAAGTACCATGACACGAAGTGGTCTGAGAGGAACAAGGAGTCGGAATGTTCATCTCTGCCTCTTCAAGTGAGCCACGGAGGACAACCTTGAGAAATCATCCGAATGGGATCATCATTGGCAGACTACAGAATGAGTTCACAATCCGCATCTTCTATCTGGACAGACTCCAACTCACGACAGGACGGAAGGTATGCCAATTAGAGACAGGCCAAGGAATCTTCAAATATATAAATCCAACCGTGTGATGCAGGATTTATGAGGCGGAGAATAGTCCCATAGTGTCCCAAAGACATCGCCAAGCGCGGAGAGTCAGACGATACAACAAATTTGCATAATTGATAGGAATTCACGTGTATTGCCAACATTAACAAATCCAATTCATTATTGTAATATTTAGTGTGTGCTAGACACAGTGTCGAGGGATGAGAAACATCAGGCGGAGATAAACGACAAATAAACCCTGGGGAGGAATTCCCAACCGTCCCACATTTCCTAGGAATACCCGAGGACATGGTGATTTCTCATACTCAGCACACGAGACCACACAACGGCAAGAGACTGAGTCCTGTATTCAAATTCCGATTTATCAATTCAAATTTACCAGTTTGAATTAGACAACGTGAAGCATACTCTCCCCCCTCTCTCACATTCACTCGGGTGCACCTTGAGATTGAGGCTTTCCCTGTGTCTGCCCAGGAAAGATACAATAATTGCGGCTCTCGGACACCATCGAGAATTAAATGCACAATTTGGAGCTCTTATGCAAAGTGGAAAATTCATACATTTCAATTTCCACCCGGAGGTACAAATGGCAGATTATGCCGAAAGGAACGGGAGTGCTAAAATGTTCATGCTACAAGTCTTACTGGACAATTCATCATGGGTAAAGGGAATAATATCTCTGGTGAATTTTATGGTCTCTATGCATGAAATTCTCATAAGTGATAAAGCAATATGAAACAAGTTAAATCCAAAATGGAGAGAGCTCTGATTTTTTTTTTACAAAAGTATTCAAAGCAAAAGCAAAATCAATATCTAAGAGGATTTCAGCACTATTAATTTGAATTCAACTCTGCCCACTGGCTCTCAAAAGCGTAATATTTCATATTGCAGTGTGGATTTTGTTGTCATCAATTTTTTTTCTTCAACTTTTTATTGAAAGGAGGTGAACTCAATAAAAGGTGAGCAGTCGATTTTCCTTATCACACAGGCAGACGGAAATTCAGTGACTTGACAATGCGATAATGACGATACTGAAGAGCAATTTGGTGCCATTGCAGACAAATAAAACACTTGAGTCAATATCTTTGATCACTCAATTGGATTATAATTGAATTTAATTATTTCTCGTCATTCACCCATATGCTCTCCTTAAGAAAAATATAGTAAATTTTATTCACAGGCTTCAGTCGTTGAGAACAGAGCAGAGAATTTGGGTCATTTGTACCTCTTTATGCTGGAACGACCACAATATAAACTTTACTATTTTATTATACATATTTTGCCTTCTTATTGAAATTCGCTCGTGAGATATTACCTAATTTGTAGCCAGTTGTTTAGCCGCCACTCGCCAAAGTCTCCATGGTATTTTCCACCTCATGGGCAACCTTGGAGAGAGCAAAAAAACCGCCCCCAGCGCTCTGGCACGAGGGAATGTGTGGCAAATGCTATGTGGGACGATAAAGGGAAAATAAATGATGTGGATAGTGTTGAAAATTAAAATTTTCATAATCCACCGACATATATCTCGTGGTGGGGAGTCCGGGGAAAGGGTGGATGTCAAAGAAAGATTGCAGGGTGGTCACTGGGTCGGAATGGGTGGCCCATTGCTAGGCCCTAGAGAGGATGAGGGAAATATTTGCCTGGTGTGAATGTGTGAAATTTTCAACTGGCATTGGGCCAAATTAATTCCGTCTCACTCTAGCGCATCCACCTCGTGAATATTTGTGGAATCCACTGTCAAACATATCATCCGGCGCTGGGAGGGTGACACCGGGACGCCTGGAAGGAGTGAGACAACACCCGAAGATAATCGCATTGAATTGTCATAGGGAATTTAATGCGGCACCAGCAGCTTCTTCCGGAGAGACAACATTTAACAAGACGCCAGATGATGCAAATGCGCCGAAATTGTCGCGGAAACAAAAGCTGGCGCCCTCCCGAGTTCTGCAACTTGATCCCTGAGAATTGTGAGTGTGTGAGATGAGATAAAATTCCCATTTTAAACATATCAATATCAATCCACACATTCTCATGAGGAAATTGCATTTGCAACTGTCGGAAGATATGTAATCGTTTGATCACATATTGAGAGAAAATCTCTCAATTTCATTCAATTTCTTGTAAAAGTAGAAAATTT